GGGCCGGAAGCCGCCCGGCACCCCTCGCCCTAGCCGCGGTCGGGGTCCCAGCCGGACCCACCCGTCACCTCGGCAACCGCGGCGACGCCCAATCCCCGGCCTCCTTCGGGCTCTCCGGCCGGGCATTGGTCGTCGTGAAGAGGGGGCGGGAGTTTAAAGTGGGTTTGGGGGCGAGGGCGAGGCTGGGGGCGTGGCCGGCGCGGGCAGCGGGGCGAGGCAGCAGGGCCGAGGATGCTCGCCTACCCACCTCCACGCCCTCTTTGCCTTTTCTTCCCCACTTCCCTTCCCTGCTTCAGGATGTGGGCAGGAGGGGAAGCGGCAGAAACACCTATTTTGCATACAGTGGGCGCCCAGTAAATGTTATTGAATGATGATATTCAGGTCTGAAGTCAACACCGAAATCCCATTTCTTCTTTAACAGAAAGCTAATGGAGCTCTGTTCCCCAACACACTTTGACTAGGAAAGAGCATGAAGTCTTCCCTAGGCCGGTCATATCAGCCTACTCCACTTTCATTGCATTTGCTGCAATTCTGATAGCCTGCAGGACCTTCACTCACTTAATGACAGAACTGTGAATTCACTTGGCATCTTTCAACCTAATATTTGGGCAAGTGTTACTGGAGTCAGACTGAGTCACAATCCCTGCTCTGCCCCTTAATAATTGTGTGACCTCAGCAAAGTTACTTAACCCGTCAGTGTATCAGTTGTTTTACCTGTGAGATGGCGGGAATAACTGAAGCACATGTAAACACCTAACACAGTGCCCGATCCCAAATAAATGCCAGTTATTCTTGTTCTTAAGTCCTATTAGAATTGAATAATTATTCCCTGAAGGTAAGGACTGATTTATCATAGCATCCTCCTGGCTCATAGTACAGACTCGGTAAGTGTTTTGTGAGATGAATTCAAGCCAGGAATTAAATCTCCATTTTAAATCCATTTAATATTTATAGAGAGCCTAGCCTGTGCCAAGTCCTTTGTTAAAATTAAGTTCCAGTGATACAAACATGTAAGGAGCCAGTCTAACCAGGCAGACAGCTTATAAACAAATTAATTACAATATAGCAGGGATGTTAACAAAGGAATACAGGGTGCCACAGGAGCCCAGAGGATGCTGGGATCCTGGTTAAAAGACTTTTCTAAAACAAAACAATCGTATTTAGAGAAAACCTTGAGCTAGAACCGAAGCCCTGATGGACTGTTGAGCATGACCTTTGAGGCAATGGAGAGCATGGGGTAATTTTCTCATTCAGGATACACCATCCCTCCTTTGAAAATTAGATATACCTGGGTGTGTTGTGAAATGGGAATTAATTCTTGGGCAAATAAGGGTGTTTCTGAGTTGTCTGACTTCTAGAAGCCCTGCTTCTCTACCTTGGCCTCCACCATCTTGGTTCAGTGGCTCCCTCCTTACAAATCCAGAATTAGGCGGGGGAGAGTAAAAGGGGAGGACTATCAAGTAACCAAAGGAAATACTCTTGCTTACTTCTGTGCTGACGCTGGACTCCAGTCCTAGGACACTTGGACGAAAGAGAAAAACAAAGCCTGACATCCAGTCAGTGGCCTGACACAGCGAGGCCTTTGGGTTCTTCTGTTAAACACAGTTACACAGAACACCAATCTCAGGGCCACTCTCTAACTCTGAGGAAGTGAGACCAAAAATAAGACCACTCAGTAATCTTGTCTGAGTATGACAAGAACAGGGTCACTGGCAAACCACAAACACAGCATCACTCAATCCTGGCTAACATGAATAATCTACTACTTTTTTACCAGTTACAGTTTTGGCCCCAACCCTCATAGATGAAATTTATTAAGAATATCCCACCATAGAACTGTCCCTCCTTCCTGACAATACCCAATCCAGAAAAAAAGAAGCCCTGCTTTCTTAAACCCCAACCATAACCACCTAACTTGAACCCAAATCCTATAGAATCTTTTCTAACGTCCCATTACTGAGATACCTCATGGTTCCTTGTGGTGTGCATTCTCTTTCACTGCAAAAGCAATAAGCCCAACTTGCCCAGCTACCAGCATGTTCCTGGTGGTCTTTGGTGGGAGGACATTGACCCTTGTAAATGATATGTACTCTGCCTTATAAGGTTATGGGGTGTGTTATCTATTCATTCTTTCAACAAACACCATTGAGTGTTTGCTTTGTGCTAACCACTTTTCTAAATGCTTGAGATGGGGCAGCGAGCAAGGTACAGAGGAAAAATCTAGTGGGAGGAGACAGATCAAAATCAAACAAAAGATCACTTTAGATACTATAAGTGTGATGGAAACAAAATAAAGTGGGGCACTGAAATAGGGGTAGAGGGAGAGGTGCTGTTCTAGGTAGGATCATCAAGGAAGACCTCTCTAAAGAATGGATATTTTAGCTGAGGTGTGATTGATGAGAAGAAATCAAACATGTCAAGGCCAAGCAAAGAGCATCCCAGGCAGAGGAAATGGCAAGTGCAAGAGCCCTGAGGCAGGAACATCCTGAGCATGTGTCATAAGCAGAAAAAAAGGCCAGGATGGCAGGACTAGAGCAAAGATGGAGGAGGGTAGTTGGGGAGATAAGCCAGATCACACTGGGTACGATGGGCTTTGTGAGGAGTTAAAATTTTATTCAAAGGGCAATGCAAAGTCATTTGATGAGACAATGTATGCAAAGTTCCTAATAAACTTCCTAGTAAGTGCCTTATAAATATCAGTCCTTGGGCGCATGGGTGGCTCAGTTGGTTAAGCGACTGCCTTCGGCTCAGGTCATGGTCCCGGGGTCCTGGGATGGAGTCCCACATCGGGCTCCCTGCTCTGCGGGGAGCCTGCTTCTCCCTCTCCCACTCCCCCTGCTTGTGTTC